GATCAAGTTTCAGAAACTGCTGCTTAAAAGATTCATCTTCTAAAAACAGAAAAGAATGATATACCATTAGGATGTTAAAACAGATGGCTTAAGTCACAGTGCCACATCACACAAGCATAGAGACTAGACCTAAAATAGTCCAAGTAATATTTTCATTAACAAGATGCCAAGTACAGCGGCAAAAATACCTTTAGGAAGAAGTCTCACTTCAAAAAAGCTTTTTCCTCCTTACACTTGATGCTATTTTCTGAATTATTCCTGGCCTGCTGAGTAGGTTTAAATACCTCAGTGCTTGCCATACTTCAATGAAGGAAACTAACCTCTCACCTTAATTGAGGCCTCCTTGTCGTACGAGGCCGCCGGAGTGATGGAGAGTGATGAGAATAAACTAAACCAGCTAGGTAAGGCGAAATATACTGGTTCATATATTCTTGCATTAAACAAGGAGAGCAGAGAATTTACTAGTCTTCCAATCAGTTATGAATAAAAAGACACTCATTAAGCAAGCTGACAGTAAATGTTGCTGCAGTGGGACTTTAAATTTATTGTGTGTGATGTCAGAAAATCACATTCAGAGTTTGGACTACAAAATCAGCACACACGAAGTAGATCACAGCATGGATATTTGAAGACATATATAAGACTTTCTCAAATTGGAAAGAGTAGTCTAGGGCCAACAAATATCTTCACCGGGACAGACCTATCAATACATAGTCTTTAAAAATGTATCTGTACGCATTCATCTGTAAATCACACATAGAGACAATGCCTTGAGAGAAAAGTGCAGTACACTGGTGAAAAGCACAGAAACTCATTCCAGACAACCTTGGTTTGAGTCTCGGGTCATTTACTCTGCACAAGTGAACATGAGTAATCTTGGTCTAGTTGTATTTTTCTTACAAGGCAAAAACAATTAACTGTGGTTGATGTTCTAAGATCAGGGAACAACACACCACTTGCATGATATACTATTTGATATTTTTAAATAGTATGTAAAATAATAAAATCCATTGTAAAATATATGTAAAATAGAAAAATGATAAAAATGAGCACAAATGCAAACTCTATTTTCCTCAGTTGCCCATGGATCTGTTTGCACACCAGCACCTAAGTCCTCAGTCTGGACAATGGGAAAATCTGGAGCAATGTGGAATCTAAAAATGTAGGAGGCAGCCCTTGTTTAAACAAAGATCAGAAAATAAAAGATGAAAATGTCCTAATTTGGCCTTGCAGGATTTGGTGTATTGGAATTTACCCTCACAGGTGAACCGAGCAGACCTTTAAAACTCAATGGCATTTTATATTGAGTCATATGCTTACCTCTCTTCATTAATACTGGACTTCTTCTTACAGCTTACCAGCAAGAAAAGAATGTTCAAGTCCAAGTATGAAACTACTTCCTCAACAGGAGAAATTAGGAAATTTCTAATCATACATGGGTTAATAATTATCCTGCTTATAAACAAATTACAAAAGTCAGTGTCCAAAGTTCAGTGAAAAGTTTGAATTGCAACACATACCAAAGTGTGGAGTAGATCCCAGACAAAGGCAAGAAGGTCGCCAGCACAATTCCTCCCTGCGTGTTTTTTCCTGTTTCAAGCACAATTTCATCACTGTGGTGATGTCCCAGACTCCCTGATGTCACTGCTTTACACTAAGTCCAGGCCTAGGCAACTGACATTTCCCACTAGATTACTAAACTATGAGGCCTTCAAGTTACAAGGATTTTGTTGTTGACGTTGCTGTTGTTGTGTTGCTGTTCATTCTGTTTTTCCCTACAACCTTATAATCTCATTGAAATAATCACTGAAGGGAAGAATACAGGATATGGCTCAGCAGCACTATGAAATGATATTTTTCAAGTTTCTCTTAAAAACTAAATTGTGTGATTCACATTTTCCTGCTGAGCAGTCATCATTTGAACCAGAAAGATCTCTGATGTACTCGTTTTCTAGACTTGTTTCTAGTACGGCTTCAATGACGTCCTCACTGAAAACATACAGAAGGTAGGACAGTTGAGAGGGGAGGATGCCTGACGTACTTTATACAATCATCGCTCTGACTGTCATAGATGCAAAGGATTTAATGGCAACAGATTCACCTGTATTAGACACTGTCCAACCGCAGCCTTCATCTCCTTGTCATGATCACATCTGACCAGCAGAAGCATCACCTTTGTACTGCAGTTGTCTGAAGGTGATTTGTTTTCCAAATATTCACTTCTAAGCCAACCTTGTGAGTCACTTCCTACACTGACAAGGAAAACAATTCATTCGTCTTACCCTATTTTTTTGTTATTTGTCATTGTCATGGTATTTCCTTTCCTCCTTTATAAAGAAGATAGGCAATTCAGTCGTGAGTTTGAACATCTCAATGAACAGCAGCTTGTGGCTTAGCCAACTGCCTCTGTGGAGGGGGATAAGTATTCAGAGTCATCTTTTGTAATATATTTAACTAAAGAGATATTTAAACCACTTCATGTTTCACCAAATTTATCCCTAGTACCATTTTTTGAATGTAGGAAAAAAATCAAAAAGCCAGCTTTCTCAGTCAAAATGCCCTTACTAACTAATTTAATAATTGCAGTTGTTTAAGGCACAGAGAAGTTCTATTTCTGAAACTCCTCTTGTATTTGTAATTCTGGGATTTATCTATAAAGTACAAAAAAAATCATGCTACTGAAAATTTCTTCACCAGTTTTTCTGCTCCTGAATCTTAGTAAATGAATATCTCATTAAAGATATCAACTTTAAAGACACTAAACAAAAAATAATAAAAATCCAAACTATTAAAATATATAATCCTCTAATCCAAGTAGACTAATAATGTTGGCCCAACTGCAATTTTGCTATTATTTATTAAGGCACATTCTGGAACCCAGTAAAGTTTGTTTTCTGTGGCATTGTTCAAACCCTTAAGGGATTTTTATTTGTTTTGTTTTGTTTTGTTTTGTTTTTGGTACCGGGGATTGAACTTGGGTCCTTGCGCTTGCAAGGCAGGCCACCGAACCACTGAGCTAAATCCCCGGCCCTCCTTAAGGGATTTTTAAAAACTTCTCAGCCATAAAGAGCGAGAGAATAGATTCATTCATAGGAAAATGGATACATATTGAAGATATACTCCTAAGTGAAATAAATAAGTCCCACATGTGTAAATACCAAATAGTTTCCCTGGTGTGAATATTCTGCAACAATGCATAAGATTCTAATAAGATTACTGACATTTAGAAATGGGAGGAAAGGAGCTAAAGGTGTAGGGAAGGTGTGATACGTAGGGGAAGAACAAAAAGGGAAAAGAAAAAAATGTGAGAGATTGAAAAGATGAAAATAAAGTGTTTGTAGATGGGGAGGGGAGGAGGGGGTGAAGGGAGGGCAGAGGTAAGGGGAAAAAAATGAGAATCAAGACTTGCCATGTAAAGGTACATGATCCCAACAATGAATGTAACTGTACTGTATCCCTAAATGTACCAATAAACTCAATAAAAAAAAAAAAAAAAAAAAAAAAAAAAAAACTTCTCATCACTTGTAACACATGCTTTATCTTATTATAGTTTAAGGCTGAACCAAGCTTAATGAAGCTTTGAAGAATTTTGAAATTTTCTGGTGATTAGTGTTTCCATTGTCTTACACTTAGTCAATATCTTGCACTTTATTTTATTTATTTATTTATTTAGGTACCAGGGATTGAACCGAGGACATTGAGCTTGTGAGTCAGGCAGCAGAACTACTGACCTAAATCCCCAGCCCTCTTTCATTTCAATTTAAAGTGAATATTGCTTAAACATGGTGCTTATGGTGTGCTGGTAAATGTTTAACACCTAGCTCTCCAAACAAAGCAAAATAAAACAAAGCAAAATAAAACAAAGCTTTACTTCATAATATTTAACAATTTCAATTGTGTAAAGACTCCTGAGGAAGCAGTTTTCAGATTGCCAATATAATGCTACTGAATATAGTACTGGGAAGAGGATGTATTATAGACTATTATGTAGCTTTTTCACCATAAAGATTCCAAAGACATAAGTAATTTCAATTATAATAAGATGTACTAAGATTATAATGAAGTGATTAGTTTTGACTACTGCCTTTGACTGTAATGTTATTTATGTAATTATAAGATTATATCATTTAGTTTTGGGAGATCACCTCATGTAACAATCATTGGTAGAAGGTGAAGAGCTGATTGCAATGCTCTATGGCCTGTTACAAAAGTAAACCAAGGCTTAGAAGGGTATGATCTCCATGACAGTAAAATCTATATTTTATCTTGTGATTTTTTTGTTTTTGTTTTTGTTTTTTTGGTATCACAGTTGAACTCAGGACCTGGTACTTGTGAGATAGGTGCAGTGCCACTGAGCTAAATCCCCAGCCAAATCTATATTTTAATTATTGATATAAATCCATTGAACAGGTTTTTGATTGGTATCTATATTTCCTTACTCATGATAGTTGAAATATGCAGCTATCTTCTTTGCTTTGAACCTCGTGGAGAAACCCCTAGTGCATAAATGACATTGTTATGGCAGCCTACGTTTATTTTGTTTGGAAATTGCATTGCTTTAAAAAATTTGCTGATTTACCATAGAATAAAATCATTTTATTTAAAAATTGATGGGGCGAGTCTCGGGAAAACACCTAGGTAAATAAATAACAACTCCACAGTGGGGCCAATGACCTTAGTGCAATCTTTTCTCAATCTTAAAGGCATTTCATGTTAATATTCACCAAACTAAGGGGATTCAGTTTACAATAAGACAAACATTTCAACTTTTCTAATCCAGTTCTTTCCAAACTTTTAAAAAGCCAATCACAAATCACAATGCCTACCACACAGCACATGCAGAAAAAAATCTTCTCTACCCTCTGTAAATCTTTATGCCTATTGTTATTGTTAATCTTACCAAAACAAAACAGCATTAGCCAAACACTGGTCCAGATGTTAGACATCCAATCTGTTAATCCTCCAACCACACGAGGGCAGTGTTAATGTTTATATGAACAGTGGTTCCCCAAGCCTCACGTGCTTGGAATGTGATTATATTATGGGCCGTTAGAGCTGTTAGAGGTGGAGTCTGGCCTAAAGAAGTGGATATGTGAGCGTGACCCCGAAGGGAATATCTCCCTTTCCAGCACCTCCCTTGACTTGCACTCTACTTCCTGGTTCCCATGCCGGGAGCTGCTTTCCTCCGCCACGCCCCTCTGCCATACTGTTTCTTCTTTGGAGCCAGCCAATTATGGACTGAAACCTCTACAAACTGTGAGCCACGAGAAACCTCTTCTTCCTTAATGTGTAGGTATCAGGTCTTTTTTCCAGAGCATCAAAATGTGACTAAGAGGGGGAGGAATCTCCATTATTTCCATATATAGTGGTTTATGGAGAGCGCAGCCATAATGACCTGTGATTCACCCGAGCGGTGTGGACGTGCCGTCGCCCATAGCAACGGGCTAGTTCAGCTGGTTGTCTGATCTGTTGCCTAGCAACTGTAACTGTTTTCTTCTGGAATGTGTGGGCAGTACTCTCGCTCCCGGGAGAGTATAAAAGGAAGAGGTTCTGTAATAAATAAAGCAAGGAACTTGAGAAGAAAGGTGCCTCCCGTCTCTCTGTCCTCGTCCTGCTGGCAGGATTCTGACGTCGTGGCTCGAGACAGTGGTTTTTATAGATTAAGCCCAAACAATAGTAGGTGTAAAGCTAAAATCTAAACTCAGGTGTGCTTAACTTATAAATTACACTATTTCTATCTCATATATTATCTCTATCTCAATTGTCTTCCATCTAGTGTTCAAACCAAAGACTCTACATCACTTAATTTTGTTTTGTCCATCTCCCCTTATATTTAGTCTATCCCTGAATCTTACAGGATGCACTTCTGAAATGGGTCTCACATCTGGTCAGCTTCCCGGTCATCACCTTAGGCCAACTTTATCTCTGATCTAGGTAACCATATAACTTTGGTACTTGGTCTCCTTTCCTTCCTTCTTGTCACTTATTCCTTGCTTTCTTATTTTGAGTCAATCTTTAGCATGTAGCTAGAATAACCTTTCTAAAAATTAAAGCTTGATCCTGCCAATATCTTAATTAAAATATTTCTGAGAGGGCTTGTGGTAATTCTGAACTACTTAGCAGGATTTCAACAGGGGCTTCAGGATTTGTTGCTTATAAATTTCTACAGTCTCTGAAATTGTAAATTCCCTTCTGAGAGTGACCAATTTCTGGTTCTCTGAAGGTGTGAAGCTTTTACCATTTAACTTTTGAATAGGTGATTTTTGCTACCTGAGGTGCTAATTATTTTCTTTCAGTAATTCTGTCTTATTCCAGTCAATTATTCAACCCTTACTTGAAAGTCACTTTCTCTGGGAAGCAACTTGGGATCCTAGAAGTCTGGGAGAAATACTCTTTTTCTAGTTATATCTAGAACTGCCCTACTACAAATTCTTGCTACACAATATCATAATTATCCTGTTAATTTTCTCAAGTAGAAACTATGTCTATTGTATTTCTTAATGTACTCAACTATGAACATAGTGACTTAAGTAGTAAGGTAAGCAATAAACATTTGTTGAATGAACAGATAAGTTGCTTCAGAGGATTAAAGATGGGTAATGATAAGAAGTGCTTGGTAATATTTCCCTTTTTAAGAACATAAATACACAGGTATAAAAACAAAAGGTGTGTGGCAATGAGACAGTGCAGGATAACGTGACTCCTCTATCTTGATCCTCAAATATGAACTTTAAGATCAGTAAAAAGTTGTTAATTTAGAATCACACCAACATGGACAAATTTTAAGTGAGAAACCATCCTCAAAATTAAAATCACAAGGACACTTTAATTCCTTGAGAAGATATGAAATGATTTTAAATTCTTCTGGCATTCATGTTCTTGAATGGGTACTTCTCTATCCATCACTGCTAGTGTTAATTATATTAAGAAGCATTTTTGACTTATCAGTTTGATTATGGCTATATCAGATTTTAATTATTTTTGCATTTTTTCCTTTTATGGTCACTGTGTCTATAGATTTCCCAAATTCATTAAATAGAAACTTTATCAGGTTAATTTCATTTTCCACTATTTTCTGTATATAAGGATGTACATATATATATATATATATATGAAATATATACACATACATACATATATATGACAATGGATATATATATATATGTGTGTGTGTGTGTGTGTGTGTGTGTGTGTGTGTGTGTGTGTATGTGTCTGTGTCCCCAATGCTAGTGTTTTATAGGTTATTTCTAATGCACACAAACCTTCACCTTTGGAAAAATGAAAAACCAATTGTCTCTATTATTTTTCCTTTTACAGATTTTAAACTGTTCAACTTTATCCATTGTTGGCTTTATTTTGTGTTGGTTTTGTTGGTCGATTTGTTTTGGCAGTGCTGAAAATCAAATCCAGGGCAGCACATATGCTAAACAAGTGCCCTACCACTGGACTTCCTGTGACCTTAGCCCCTTATATGTGTTTTTTACCAGTATTATTTATTATGAATGGTAAAGCATTTAAAATAATTCAATTTAATTTAGTGGATGAAGGGCATACTTATGGGGTGCTCAGCATTAGGGAAAATAATTAAAAACACTGAGTATTGAACAACCTTTCTGTCCTTCCCTTGAATTTTAGATATAATTTATATACCTAAAAACTTAACACCATATGATATACGCTATACCGATTTGTGTGGCCTCAGGAACATCTTATTTCATTTGGATCTATAGGCAAGTTCATCATGAAAGGAATTTTAAGATATTTATTTACAAAAGAATTATACTCAACAAATGACTAGAAATCTATCAAATAGTTTAAAGAACAGAAAAGACAGGACTGCAGCAAAAGGAGAAAAATTCAGAGGATTCTGAAACCTTTAGATAATGAAAGGCAAGGCAGCAAATGCTTCTGCCCTTTCCTCTTCTTGAACCATGAACTGATTTACTGCCCTGAGTCTAGATACTCTTCCTATCTCTTTGATGCCAGAACTTTGCAACTCTTTGTTTTTTATAAAGACGGATGCACTGTGCCTTATACAGTTATAGCCAGCCTGTGACAGTCTGAGGATGTCATGATAACAACTTCAAATCATGCCCCAAATATCCTCAGCACTTGCAAAGCATAAGCCCTAGGAGCAGATGAGCTACTGGCAGGGTTAGTGGGAATCGGTGCTTAGAGATAACAGCTGTCATACACAATAGCAATAACTGCAAAATCTGATTTATATTAGTACACTTCAACATTTCTAAAACACATTCTTGGGGGGAGGCAGGGAGGTGCAAGCTGAGTGTAGGACCACTGATTTAACACAGGGAGGACCGCCAAGGGAAGGCCAGGAGGTCCAGCACAGGGGTAACCGTTTGGGGTTGAGTGCTATGGAGCTGTCCCCTTTGGAGCTGCCCAGGGCAGGGACCCCAAGGGGGCAGCCACAGCAGGAACCTGGGACCGAGCAGGAATTCTAGGAGGGTTTCAGTGAAAAACTGGAGCAGTGCATGAATTGTGCGATCTCCCTGCTGCCCATCACTGGCTGCTGTCTTGGTGAGAGAGAGAGAAAGTTGGTCAGGAAAGACTTTCAAAATGATGCTGAAGCAGAAAATCGTGCTGCTAGCAACTCTCCTTACCACCTTCATCTTTAACCAAAGTCTTCCTGATTAAGTTAGGTGTGTCACATGTATTAGTAGGGAAGCCCAAAGGGCTTTTCTGTCACGATTGGCCTTTTGGTGGAGCTGGCACCCAAACTGGACCACGGTGTGCAATACCACAGAGGCCATAGCACAGCAGGTAGCTCCCTAGGGAGTATTCTCTCAACAAGCACAAAGGCGGGGGTCATTCATGCCATGGCCAGGAAGATCATTAAAGCTACTGCAGGTTGGAAATGTATACACTTGAAAGCCTTCCTGACCCTGAAGGAGTACAGAAAGTTGATCTCACACATCAATGGTATGACAAGCACAGTACAGAAGTAAAAGGATGGGCTTCTTGCCGGCGGGCCTATGTGTTAAACTGTAAACAGTGTAGCGGCTGAGTGCTTTCCTCACTAGGAAGCAATACTTGTTTCTATGAGAAGTGCTACTGCTGCTGAGAAACAGAGCCAGCCTGTGCTGATGGAGACAAAACAGGGTCATCTGTCACCCTGTGCCGTCTAGATGCATGGCCTCTGTAGAGTCACCAATATTCCGGGGGCAGGACTTACACAAAAGGCAGAGAAGAGGAAGTATGGAGAAAGCCACTGTGGCACTAAAGAAAAATGTCCCCGTGTGACAAAACCCAAACCTCTTGGGCATCCTTTCTGGGTCTGCCTTTGATTACCCCACAAGCAGCATGACCACCGTCCCAGTGAGAGCTTGCAGGGTGATGCAGGCAGCAGTGTGCTCATCCTTGCAGTTATGTGCACAGGATCCATGGAACGCCCATCCCACAGCCCCATCAAAGTGGCTTCATTTGGATTTCTATGTGAAACAGACTGGACTACCTAGTGGAACGCTGAAATCTGCCTTAAAAACTGCCATGATATGTGACCCATCTTTCCTGTGCTTTCCAATCCTGGATGCTGGGGACCTTGAGTTCTGTCTGCATTGAAGCAGCACACTCACTGGCCATCTGGGAAGGGACAGGATGCCTCTCTTCCTTTCAGAGTCCTCCTCACAAAATAAATAAAACATTTACACAGATAGAGAAACAGCACTATGAGTGCCAAATGATAGGGGATAACTGGATGTGGCCAGAGAAAGCTCTACTGATAGAAGACAGTGTGGGACTGGGAGTCTTTGGTGTTTTCTGCAATAGAAACTAAAGCAACGATTGTTGAGTTTCAGAGCACAAGATGTTCTTGCAAAATCACCTTCTAAATTTCCTCAGCAGCTACCCATTCTAGCAATGGGCGTCAAGAAGTCTTCCCAGGCAAACGGAAAAACAGAGGTGTGATCTTTGAATAGGTGAATCTTGGGATTGGTTCCAGAGTGTGTGTTTTGACTTAAAACACACAGAAACATTTTACTATCTCTTACATTTTTATTTTGTTTTGTTTTTTTAGCCAGTATTGGTTGAATTGAAAAAACTTATTATCGCCTGTGGAGGAGTAGTAACAAATAAAAATTACGTTCTCTTAAAAAGTTCTTAATGTTTTTGAGATTATGTTTTCCTAGAATGCTTTGAAGTAAGGCTCACTACTGTGTGCAAAGACCTAATAAAATAGGAAGAGAAAAGCCTTTGTAGGTCAAGGAAAGGACCAAAGGGAGATCTTCCTGCAAGTAAGTAAACTGGATTGGTCAAAGGATTTCAATTAGGAA